ACTGCATCTGACCAGCCGCACTTACATTTGCATCACCTCCTGGTCCCTACAGACAGCCAGTGGCATGTGTGGCTCTGACCACTGAGTAGCAGGTTTGAGAACTAAAAGTGTTATAGATAGGGTGACCTACAATGAACTGTCCAAACCAGGGCACTCAGAGAGGAAAAAGGAGTGCTGTTCATAATTACAAGAGGAGAACGGGCACAAACCGGGACGGTCCCAGACCAACTGAGCTGTGTGGTCTACCCATGTAGATACCACTTTATTGGCGAATGAGAAAATTGAGACCTAGGGAGATGAAGTGATGTGCTGTAGTAATCACCACATAAGCTAACAGTTAAGCCGCCCTAAGCACCCGACTCACAGCCCGCGGCTTTCTCCTATATAACATGCTCTATGTAATAGGGACGAACACCAGTCCTCCTTGAGCATATGGATTCTTTACAGTTACTAAGTATCGCAGAGCTAATTTCTTGTGAGGGCGTACAAATTGGTAGCTTACCTCATCAATAGTATCTCTAGTGTGAGTGTAATTAATGACAGCACATCTAGAGATGTTTAAAACATTGGTGGGCTTGAGAACTAGAGAGAAAATGCAAGAAAATATTCTCATTTTACCAGATAGAGTAAGAGATAGACTTAGAAGACCTAACTGTCCAGATTTTTAAAAGAAAAGAAAAACACACCATTAAGTCGATAACCGGCTTATTAAAAACTCTGTATATTGACTTCTTGATCACTGGTTATTGGCAGGTAACTAATAGTAATTATGTCTTTAAGAGATGCCCAAGACCCCAAATTCCCATTGGCCAGCTGTCAATTGCCTTGTTGAGTTTCCAAGAGATATTTGTACAGAGAACACTCCAGATGAGACCAATGCATGCTCTTCTTAATCACTTGCTCAGACTTTGGCCCCCCAATCCCTGTCTGGTGTCCCATCCTAGAGAACCGGACGAGACCCCATGTGAGCCTGAGCGTCACCTGTCAAAGGCTTAGGCCGACGGCTAGCCTGAGAAGTCCCCTGGAGGACGCCTTTTCCCGAAGCCCCCATGGCTCTCATTTGTCCTTCCAAGAGACCTTGCAAGCGGCAGACCACGCCGACCGTGTCCCGTGTCAGCTGCAGAAGACGGAAGAGAGACAGAGGAAGCCCTTCTTGCCAAAAACGAGACCAGAGCTAGCCTGAGCCCCCCACTCCATGCTTCCTTTCCCTCGGAAGGTCCTCTGGCCCCAGCGAGGACCAACCTCCTTCCCCACACTTTCCAGTGTCTCGTTTCCTGAACAGCCCTGTGCCGACCAGAGCCTGAGAGGCTCCTGTGCTGCCACCAGCCCTTCGGCTCCTCTGCCATATCACGCAGAAGGCACTTGGGTCCCTACGGCACCAGCTGTGGGTGCCATATGGGAGAGCCACACCATATACATATGTACAGAGTATTCCTGAAACCAGAAGGAGTGTAGAAGAGCATGTAACTGATCTAGCTTTAGCTGCTCCTTGCCTTGGAACATTTTTAATCACTGAAATATCTGTAGGCTATAAATAGAATCATGTAGTGAGATAATTCCGCGTTGAAACCAACTACGTCTTTTTTGTTTTTATATGGACACAGGACTGTGTGTGGCGGGGGGCGTATGAAAATGTAGGTTGAACATTTGGATACAGAAGGGTTTGACTTTCCAATACAATGTGTGGGGAGCGATGTACCAATGAAGGAGGGTGGTGGTGTCTGTCAGTCTGCTCAAGCTGGGCTTTTCACCTGCGAAACGGAGACCTCCTCCTCCTCCTCCTATAAATAGTTGGGGAGAAAGTTCTGTTTTTGCTTCTGTCTGGTTTAAGTGCAGAGGTCACGGAGGGGGCCGCCAAAGGTGGACGGGGAAGGTCATTGTCCGGACTCAGCCCAGGTTTGGGGATGAGCACGGGTCCGCGGCCCATGTGGGGATGGTGCCCACTGGAGCCAGGCCTCGGGCTGTGTTCCTCTGCAGTAACCTCTGCCCCTTCTCTTCCCTCCACCCCTTCCAGGCAGGACAGGGCTGCTCGCTGATCTCTTGCCCAGCTTTGCTGTGGAGATTATGCCAGGTATTCAGTCATTTAACTCTTCATCTGCTGACTGTGCTGTCTACCTGCATTGCTTCTGCACTCGTCACCAACTGCTGCTTTCATTTACTGGCATGTTTGTCTATATGTGTCTGTGGTCTTTTCTGGGATGAACTGAGCCCATTGGAAGAGCCTTTCAATTGTATATCTTCTGTTATTAGGCCCTGAAAGACTAATGATAATAAAAAACTAAGCCGGGATGGGGGCCCATCCTTCCGTGTCAGGTACGCAGGTTCTTTGCCCATCTCCATGCTCATCTCAGTGTCTCAGATGCACCCAGAGAGCTATTGGCATCCTTAACAGAGTCATTATCTATTTGCACCCCTTTCTCCCTAAGTTATATGTCTACCCCTCTGTCATTAGCGTGCAACCATGTTACTCTGTGTTGCATTCCTCCTCCCTGGAACAGTGCCCATCTACAGACCTATGTTGCCTTGTTCACAGTCTCGGGGGGCTTCTGGGGCCCCTACATCCCTGGGGTCTGTGGACCATATATCAAGGACCCCTGCCCCGAATGCATGCCTCTGCCTTGGTATGTAGCTGAAGCTGAACGGACCAGCCTAGATGAGCCCACTTCAGTTCAGTGCAGCCCATAATATAATAGAAGGAGGCGCGGAGAGAACAAGCCTGACCCCTGAGGGAGGGCAGGTCCACACGCAAGGAGCAGGAAAGGCTTCTCAGTCTTGCTTTGGAGGGTTTCGGCCGAGGGTGTAAGAGTTGCCTGATGGTTTAGAGCCACAGAGAGGTACACACTACTCCTGGCCGTTGCTTTGGACTTGATTCGATTTGTAAGAAGCACCCAGAGTCTCCACATTGAACTTCACTCATCATTCTGCCACGAATTCTCCTGGTCCTTCCCCATTAGCTGGCCAGCCCAAATAGAAGCATTCTTCTTACTCATGTTGATCCCAAGGACACAAAGAGATGTCTCTCTGTGACCCCCCCCCCGATTATCCAGAATTGCGTCAATTTGTACGCATTTGTTCAGCGCCCCAAAAGGAAACACGGTAACGTTGCATGGCCTCAAACTAGATGTTATTCTCCCGGTCCCAAGAAAGAGTTACTGTATTTTTCCTATCTGGTCCTGCATGCCCGAATTTCCCTCCCTTTTGATTGTAAGAATCTGTTCATGGATAACATTCTTTGTTTCTGCATGGTGACCTGCCAGGCTTTTGTCCTTGATTGCCTGACCCCATGTACGTTGTAGCCACCATGTCACACAGCTCATCGAATCCTCCTGGCTCAAGTCAATCTCAGACTACACTACGTTCTGTTATTTCTAAGGCCCATGCCAAAGCCCTCAGCTATCTGTTGTCCTCAGCAAGGACGCTCTCCAGGGCGCTCCAGCCAGGTGCTGGCCTTCTCATTGCCTTCTAAAGAGCGGGTGGCCCGGTTAATCTGAACGGATTTCAGGTGGACAGATGAGCAAGGAGGGATATTAGGGGGACAGTAGCTGTTTGTTTTCTGATGAAATTATCTTCTAAACAAAGGTCGAATAATTTCGCCATTAACACAAAGCCCTTTATGTAACAAAAATGTCATATTCTCAAGCTCTGACTGAATGCCCACAGAATTGAAGGAATATTTAATAACCCAAAGTTAAGAAAACCAATGTATTCTCTAAGTTCATCATAAAGGGGTTTTGGTAGATGACTTTCCAATGAATTGCTTGAATCTTTTGGCTTCTAAAGGCCATCACAGCTCACTCCAGTCTGTCCCAGGCCTCCAGTGGGAAGGTGGGTCCCAGAGCCCAGTCCCAAAAGTAGGACATAAAACAAGTCACTCAAGGGCCATGGTCATTTTGCTCTAAGCCAAATGGAATTTGTTTCCTTCCTCTTACCCTTTTTGAAGGGCAAATGAACTAGAATTCCAGTTCTGGCAGAGCTGTGACTAGAGCAGAAGTTAACAAACAGCCGTAGACACACGTCACCCTTGCCAGTCATCAGAGCTCTGAGCCGTTAGCCCGTGGCTATGCGGGCTATCAGCAAGGTCAGCCCGAGTGTCACCAAATCAAGCCAAGCCATCCTGGGGGGGTGGGGACAGCGTCTTCTCTATCAAAGCCTGTGTCTCTTGTTGTGGATCTCAGCCCTGACGCTGACTTACAGGAAAGGTGTCACGGGGGCAGCCCATCAGCAGGAAGGCAGATGGGCACAGAAGCACCCGAACCCCTTAATATGTTCTGCCCAAGACAAGGTAGACACAGAGAACTTCTCAGGACTTACACTTTTAGTGGCAACTTGACTACCAAAGATATGCATTCACAGAATCCATCCCTTTATAGCTCAGCAAACGGAGTCCCTCCCCACACCCCAGCCACAAGTCTTTCTGTTCTTGTCCCATACTCGTTCTGATACAGTCAACCCTTTCCCCAGGAGGGGACCCTGAAACCTCACCTCAGGGCTTGGTGCTATCACGATGTGCGCTCAATATGACCTAGGTAACCTTCTTCCCTCATCGCCCTGCCCCGACCCCGGGGGATCTGCACGGCTCACTGTCAGAGTTCCCCCTGAGTGTGGGGGCTCTGTGCCCTGTTATAAGATGCTTTCTCCCCCGGGTCTGTCCCGCTCACACCCCTTCACAAGGAGACACCGACGAGCGTGGCCATCCTGACAGCGGGCCGCCTCGAGCTTGGGTTTCTCTGTGCGTCCTTCCAGAGTGGGTGTTTGTCGGCCTGGTGATCCTGGGGGTTCTCCTCTTTTTCGTCCTGGTGGGGATCTGCTGGTGCCAGTGCTGCCCGCACAGCTGCTGCTGCTATATCCGCTGCCCGTGCTGCCCGGACGTCTGCTGTTGCCCTCAGGCCTGTGAGTCAAGTGCCCAGTGGGGACACGTGGAATGACCGAGGGAATGAAGGTCACCCTCGGTCGGACGGCTGTGTTCCCCGAGTTCCTTCTCCACCGCCTTCCCTTCCACCCAAAGTGTTGGTCCTCCGGACGGTCCTGGGCTGGGAAGCCCCGGCCCCCACAGCTGACCCCCTGTGTGCCTCGTCCCCTCCATGCCCTCCTGCATGCTTCCCATCCACACCCATCACCCTGGCGATTCGGAATTCTTGCTGACACCACCGATGGAAGGAAGGGCAGGTTCAGGATGGTGAGGTTTGGGGTGAGCTTTTGCCTTCTCCTCAGGCATTCAAACCAGAGGAAACCTCCTCTGCTGGTGCCTCTCAGAGGCAGAGAACTCCCCTGTTTACAAGCAGAGTGTGCCAACAGCAGCCTGTGGGTACCATCCAGCCACAGCTGGGTTTCATTTATCCCCAAGACAAAATGGTCCTCGTTTGGGGATGTGCAGTCTCATTTTACTGGCCAGACCTGTGTAGGCGTGAATGCTGGCACCCCTGCCATAAGCCAAACACATCTTGAAGAACAGACATACGTGTATCTTTAGTATCCTTAGGAATAAAGCAGTTCCCAGGAGGAGTCAGGGTATCTGCTCTGCTTTGGAGCTCACAGAGCAGGGCTATGTGAGCCCATTGTCACGGTGCCTCTCTAGAAGAGGCTCTCAGGGTGCCCCTGGAAGCCGCCCTGGGCAGCACCAGTGCTGTAGCCGCCTACAGACAGTGTGGTTCAGAGTGGGCCGCTGCTGTCAGTGGAGAGGCTGCTGTGACAGCTCCCAACACCGAGTAATTACTCAGTGAAGGTACTAAACGCTGTTGTTCCTGACGTCATCGCCTTTCTACAGAGCTGGGGGAGGGGTACAGGGAGTGGGGGCCAGTGGTTCCGATGAAGCAGTTCAGGCCTAGGAGAACACACACAGGCACACAGGCACATGCACACATGGAAACACGCATACACAGGCGCGCACACACACACACACACACACACACACACAGAGGCACACACTCATGCACACATCCTGGAGCTCCCTGAAGCACCTCCTTAGGGATGTCTGGTGTGAGGGTTGCGGAGGGTGGGACGATATAATCTCTCTTGCTCTTCATCTCCCTCCACAGTGTATGAAGCAGGGAAAGCAGCCAAGGCCGGGTACCCTCCCTCTGTCTCCGGTGTCCCTGGCCCCTACTCCATCCCCTCTGTCCCCTTGGGAGGACCCCCGTCATCTGGCATGCTGACGGACAAGCTGCATCCACCTCCCCTGGCACCAAGTGACTCCACTGGAGGAAGCCACAGTGGTAAATGTGGTCCTGGACTGCCCTGGCCCGGCTTCCACTCTGGTCCCCGGCTCATGAGAGCCGCCAGCTCAGGGATGCGTCGCTGGAAAATGGTTCTCTCCATTCCAGAAATGGGATCCTTCCTGTTGTATCAGATGCCTTCTGGAGTGCGTGGCAGGCTTTTTCCAAGGGCTGCAGGACACAGCTGCCCTTGCTTTCCTCCCAGGCTCCTCAGTAACGCGGATGATCCGGAAAAGAGGCAGGGTACCAGGAATGGAGCGCTGATCATCCAGTTAATAAATAGTTTTGCCATCCCTACCCGGTGCTCAGGACTGACCAGCCCTGTGAGGGGTACCAAGCAGTGCAGGCCATGGTTTGTCTGGCAGGCAGCGTGGTCTAGACGGGGAGGGAGGATGGGCCTTTATCAACACCATTCGGTACCGGGAGTTCAAGGAGAAAGCCCCGGAGTGGTTACCAGGTCTTCAGGGAAGAGGTGAGGCTTGAGCTGGGCCTTGAGGAGTGAGAAGATTGGGGAAGAAGAGCGGGGAACGCTGAGCACCCCCAGGAAGGCAGCACGTGGGGAGCCAGAGCTGGGAGAACATGTGTGGGTTGGACGGTGTCCAGCTCGTCTGCCTGACTCCCTAATACGGTGGAGCCCTGAAACACGCCCCCCAGAAGACCCGGGACTTGGTGCCGTAGCAAGGGAAAGCCACTGCAGACAGAGTCCTGGGCGGAGAGGTGACACGTCGACAAGGCGAGTGGTACGCGGGAGAGAGTGGAGTCAGAGACCCCGAGCTGAGAGGGGACTGAAGTTGTCCTGGTGAAATGTCTGAGCATCTGGATGGAGGCGCAGGGAGCTGAAATGAGTGGGGAACCAGAGAGACACTTTGAGAGAGGCGGCAACAGACTCTGGGGAACGGGGGCCTCAGGATGGACCGAGTTGTCCAGCAGTGCGTATCGGAGACGGAAGTGAAGCCCCTGGTGCGGAGAGCTTGTTTGGATGATGAGATTGGCCCCATTTAGGCATGATGAGTTAGTGGTTATTGGCCAGGATGGAAGGGCAGTGGGGAGTTAAAATGTCTCTTTTCTGGAAGCAGTTGAACAGTGTGGCAGAGTCGTAAGGCTAGAAGTGTGTGTGTGTGTGTGTGTGGTCGATTTAGGAGGCAATTTTTAAATCCCGAGATGGGTGAGCCACTAAGGTTGGTAAAACAGACACTTCTCCCCTGGAGGCATCTGGGCTGCCTTCAGTGGGGGCGGGGACAAGGACCCAGCCCACTCAACAGCTGTCAATGGCTCACCGTGGAGGGAGTGGCTATCCTCAGTGAGTAATCGGTATTTGTGTTTTTTCTCTCCCCGGAACTATTAGTAGCATTCTGACGTCTGAGACCAGGAATGAGTCACAGACTGAGAAGGAAAAGTTAATGATCATAGACACCCAGGGAATTAGAGAGATAAAGACAAAACGAGACAGTCCATGTCCCCAGAGGACGGAGTGGGCAAAGGAGACATTCGTGGAACTTGGCTCCTACTCTTTTTACAGCTTCCCCCCCTTTTCCCAATCTTCTTTCTCCTTCTTTCCCACCAGAACCCTCTCCTCGTACTTTTGATTGAATGGTTCTCCTAATAAAATGAGTCAGATTCGTAGAATGGCAAATACTTCCTCTCTCCTGTTTTAACCTTTTCCCAGCCCCTGCTTGCCGTAGTTCAGTCATTTTGGCCCCATCCCGCCACACTAACCGACTGCAATGAGAAGTGTCTTGCAAAATAAGAACACGTATTATTTCCCATAGCAAGAAATGTCCAGGTAAGGTGGCTCTGGGGCTAATTGGACAGTTCAGGTGGCATCAGTGAAGGACCTCATCCTTTCCATCCTGTTCTGTCATCCCGAGCAAACCCGCTGCCTTCCTGGGCTGGCGTTCCTCGTGATTCCATGATAACTGCCATAGTCCCAGGTATGAATGCCTTCAGAGATTGAAAAAGATATGTATCTTCCTTGTGCTGCTTTCTTCAAGAGCGAGGACACTTTCCCAGAAGCCCCTCTTCCCTTGGGCAGACTTCTCCTGGCAGTCTCATGGGTGAGAATGGCGTCGCATGCACCCATTCTTAAACCACATTGGCTAGGGCTAATCAAGACTCATCTCTTAGGCCAAGACACCCATTCACCTTGGAAATGAACAAAAGCAGGATTCTGTTCACCAGGAAAAGGGTACAATGCAAAGCCAATGGCAGCCTCAGCTAGTCTGGCCTGTGTTGTCATTATGTGGCTCGTGGGTCAAGATCACGTTCGTGTTTGCCACCAGTCACATTTCTGTCCTCACAGTCTCATTGCCAGAATGACGGATGCCATTTGGCTATTTCTCCTGTAAGAAAGGTGGCTTCAGTCACCATCCCATGTTGATTATTGTTTCAAGCATGTTGGAAACGTAAAGAAATGCTGATTAGGAAAGATGTAAATGTAGGCTATTTTAGATTTACATGCTACTTCAATTTGGGGGGGTAATCATCCCGCAATAGTAACTTTTCAGATCACGTCTGTACACAATGCTCTTGAACAGTCTGTGTGGTCGGAAAGGCATCTTTGATGAGCTATGTATAGTACAGCCAGTTGGTGCCCGCATAGGAGAGAGAGAAGAGGCATGTCGATACCTTCCCCCTTCATCCCAGCAGCTCACTGAGACCTGTCACAATAAGAAACGGCTGTCTCTTCCTCGGCGGCCCTGGGCCTGTCCCTTTCAGCTCGGTCAAGGTTCTCTCTTTATTGAATGTCCCTACTGCACCCCATTCTTACCTCTCATCTTCAGCCTCTCTTGTTGAGTGATTTCTTCCTGTCAGGTTACAGAGCATGCTCAGACCTCTCCCATTCAAATTCAACAGCAATTTGTAAAAACCCCTGGAGTGCTCCCATGTTCCTCCTCCATCCCGTTTCGCCTCTTCACAGCCAAGTCCTTGAGTTGCGACTATCCCATGTCTCCATTTCCTCTGCTCTCACCGGCTCCCCACTAACTTCCGTCTCGCTAGCTGTTGCTTTCACCGCTCCAGGAGCCAGTCCCTGACCAGGCCGCCTGACCACTATGTCCAACGGGCACTCACTCCTCAGGCCTCACCTGCCTTGACATCTCACCAGCACTTGCCACCCAGACCCACTCACCTTGATTCACCTTCCTCCACACCGCGTGTTGTAAGACATCTCCCTGCCTCTTCTGCTAGGTGCTGGCTGCTCTCCCTCCCCCTGCACGTGGCCCAGACATCGGGGTCCCTGTCCTGTCCAAGGCCCTCCCCTGGGAAACTTCCTCTATGCCCAGGCTGCAGCGTCAGCTGTGTGCAGATGACCCTGACCTCCCCTCTGCTCCTCAGTCCTAAGCGTCCCTGCGGGACATCTCCACCTGGGGGTCCTGCAGGCGTTTCAAACTCAGCCTCTGGGAAACTGAATCAATCTGCTGTTTGTCGACTTCAAACCAATGTGTCCATTTCTTATTTCAGTGGCTGGCACACTGTCCACCTGCCAACCCAAACCAGAACGCAGGACTTCATCCTCCTCTCTACTTCACCCTCATTTCCCTCATCCAATTGGTCACCAAGTCCTTCAGATGGTAGCTCAAAATAACTTTAAGGTGGTTTCCTTGCCTCCATCTCTACTGTGACTGTCCTAGTCCTGGCTGCCATCATCTTCCGCTGGGGTTAATGCAATGAGCTCCTACCCCATCTTTCCATACCTACTCTTTGCCGGAATCTGTTTTCCTTTCACGTCTACCTGGCCTCCACTCATCCTTCTTGCAAAGGGATTGAGTAGGCAAGCAGGGTTTTGAAATGTCATTTTCAAAACTAATAAGGATGTGTGTCTATATATATGCCTACTGTATGCATACAGAGAATATGCAAATTTTAAGCGTCACTTCTCCCACAGCTGAGCTGCTGTCACCCTGGGGGTGGAACCTGGCAGCTGTTCCATCATCCATAAACAGCCTTGCTTAGCTCGTTAAGCTAGGACATGAAGAAAAAGGCTATATTCATGGGTATCTGCCTTAGAGACAGCGTTTGCAAGTTTTATAAGCTGCATTTGGCTGGAAAGGGGAAATTAACTGAAAAATAGTTTAGCCTTAATGGGGTCAAAAGCATTAGCTCAAATTCTTTAACAATAAGAATTTTTTAAATGGTAGTTTGGCTTCAAAATGAATGGCCCAATATCCCTTCTCCATTAAAACCAAACTTGGCAAGGACAAAGAGCCACACCAACCAAAGGACTTGGATCAGACTAAACTTGAAAAGAGAAATAAGTCATCCATCTATCCTAAACTGAAACATCACTGGGGGTGGGGCGGGGGAGCCATTTTCCAAAAATTGCTGGGCTTTGGCCAACGGTCTAGGACATTTCTTATTATAAAATATCACCACACATCAGAGAGTACTCTGATCTTCAGACAAATTACAGATAAAAATCAACCAGACATCATTCTATTTATTTTAAAATCAAGAAAAATGTAATGACTGCCTATAAGTTTTCCCTCAAGGAATTTATGGTCTAGCAGAGTGGCTGCTGGGGGCTAGTGAATGGAAAGAAAATGAGTAAAAAAACTGCAATGCAGTATTTGGTAAGGCTGTTCTCTGGTGCAGACTCAGATAATCTGGTTGGAGGGATCAAAAAAGGTTTTATATGCTCCTAAGAACATATGGGACAAGGTCAGATCCCACCAGGATGAGAGAATGAGCTATCAAACTTAGAGCTTACAATTAAAAAAACAAACAAACAAACAAACAAAAAAACACCAACTCCTTTTCAAGGGAGAATTGCCTAGCTTTTTAGCTACTGGAACCAAACAGACAATACCTCTAAAGTCTAAAGATCAGTACTTTGCCTCTGTCCTTTTTGATGAATGAGAGGGATTTAGATTTATGAAGTCATGGGCTGCTGTGACCAAGAAGTGCCCCCTGAAGTTATCTAGTACAGTGGAGTCTCTTTATACTGAAAGGCAAAACCACCATCTTCATTTGTGTCTGCACATAGTTACTGTAACTTTCCGGGGACATGATAACCTATGCAACATACCCAAATCTGTCTCGTAACAAGTAGTGGACTCTGTGATGATGGCACAGAAAACCATCTAAGCTCCAGTCCAAGGTGCAGCTGACCGAGAGGCTCCCAGTTGTCACTCAGGGTGGTGGCCATCTCTTGTCTGTTATGTTTGAATGTTTACCATAAGAGTGCTGCACATATGAAGAACACCTAGGTAAAGTCACAGCTACAGGTGGGGCAGGCCCCCTCCCTAAGGCCTAAAAACATGCTAGTTTTCTTAGAAAATAATCATCAATAAGAACAACAAAACTTATATAAACTTTGATGCCCCCTCAAACTACCATTCAAGCCTTCTTCCTTCCTGGTCAAAATTCTCCAACAAACAACCTTTCTGCCTTACTTTGTAATCCCTTGTAATATAATTTCTATTCCTGCCTTCTCATTCATTCATTCATTCATTCACTCACTCATACAAACACATGTTTTGAGTATGTGCCATGTGCCAGGCGAGGTGCTGGGGATGCAGAGATGAAGAGAGAGAGCTGGTCCTTGCCCTCAGGAAATTTAGTCTACAGAGGGAAACTCTCCCAAAAGTACTCTTTGAAGAAATCATTAAGCCTACCCCTACCCCCAGGCTGGCAGCAATTCCACTCCATATTTATGAAGTGCCTACTATGTGTATAGCATGGCCCTGGGCTTTACACCCATCCAGAATAACAAGGATTCCTATCCCTCAAGAAGCTATGGGAAGATTACACATTTATACAAATAACTTGAATCAAACTAGAACATATTGAGGGCCATCGCGAAAGTTCCAACTAAATGATTTGTGAGTTAGGAGTGAGACAGAGGGGGAGAGAGAGAGGAGATAGAATCCTGTAGCTACAAGCATCAAGGAAAGCCTTTGAGATGCTGTGACATTTGAGCTGCCCCAGATAATCACAAAGAATTCAAAGGGCTCCACTGATTTGATCTTTTTTAAGAGATTATTTAAAGGGTGGGAAGTATTAGCTGCATTTTATAGACATGAAAACTGAGTCCTGGCTGGGTCACCATTTATTTGGAGGCCCTCGATAAACCAGTGGCATCTCTACAGGATGCCCAGTGCCCCACTTCCTAGCCCTGCACTCCATCCGTCAGAACAGACAGAGCAGTGTCGCAGAATAACTGCATTTTTAATTGAACTGTCTGTACTACTCTGTAAACGCCTCTGCAGAGATGGAAGAGGGTACAGTTTGATAAATAAAATCATTTCCGCTAATAATTGCTTCTGCAGAAGGATTATGGCTCTAACCTCTAGGAGAAGGTGTCACTAAAAAGCATGTACTGAGATTCATTTTTTTTCCCCCAATAACTCCACAATTTGAGATGAGTGTGGACTGGCCCGCAGGCTCTGAGAGAGAAAACCAGGGCACCTGCCAATAGGCTGGGGGCGGCTTCTCAGTCTCCGGTGCCAGGGTTGTGATTAGGGAGCTGCAGAATATTATATTTCAATCTCCCGTGTACAGAGCTGTGGGGGCGGGGGGTGGGTGGGGTGGCCACAGCCAGGGGGAACATGACCAGGAGCAGAAGGCAGGGTCTCCTCCCAATGCATGTGCAGTCATGTGGCATCTGCCTCACCGTGGGAACAGAAAATGTTGGAGCTGGGACACGTGCTTCCATCTCATTGTCCTGATGGGCTGGAAGACAGGAGCGTGCCTCAAGCCATAACACTATGGCCACCTAAGGGCACTTCCTACTCTGGGCTTTTCCTTCTTGTCCTCCTCGTCTACTTCTGCTTCCTACCTGGGCTCCCAGACTCCAAGAGAGGCACGATGCCCCATCGGGTGGGCTTCGGTCAGACTGCGTGCACCCAGCCCTGGACCTGCCAGCCATGCCTGAGCAAGTTATGAAACGCTTCTGCACCAAAATTTTCTCAACCACAACATGGTGTTAGTAAGAGTCCCTTCCATGGGTGGCTGTAAGGACCAGGGGCTACGTAAAGCACTTAGCATAGCACCTAGCATGTCTGCAATGCCCCATTCATGTGGTCTGCCACCATTATCATTCTGTCCCCCACCCATCCATTCCCTTCTCTCCTTTTCCCTCTTTCTCTTGTCTGTGGCACCGAGACCCGCCCTTGGGGCTGGCATTGGACTAGACCGATACTTAAGTGATGCGGGGCTACCATAGCCTTTGTCCCGACAATATGAGTGATGGGAATGTAGGAGGTGCTATCATCACCCAGGCTTCAATTTTCGTTTTTATTAAGCCCTGAAAAGAACACCTGCTCGTATCCACACAGCAGCAGGTTGAATTACTCGTGACTGAAATATGGTAGTATTCCCTTTCCTAAGAGGAAAGTGCTAAGGGGATAAAATGAAGCCGTGATGAGTAATCCATGCATGTGGCACCTTAGTTTGTACTAATGCATAGACAGCCTGGAATCTAATATTAGCTCATATGGACCACGCAGTGATGGACTTCGCACCATCTCCCAGGCAACGAGAGGCTCTCAGGCCGCCTTTGTCAGGGGCCCTGAGGTTCAGGTCTCTGTTTGAAAGTTACCTGTGCTCCTACCAAGTGAAGGTATGACCCTGCCTGTAGCATGATCTGTGCTCTCGGTCTAGAAAGTGGTCTTTCTTTAGTGAGTTGACTCCATTGAGCTTTGAGAAGTGGAGCCGTAGGAGAGGGGGAGGTGAGAAGCAGAGGTTAACAAACGACTGAAAATACACCGTGAGAGAATTGCGTTGTTGACCTGCTGGTCCTCCCTCTAATGGCCGATCTTACAAAGGGGACCTTAGGTTGGTTCCGTGTGTATAAATACAGATTCCTCTGTCTGGGTAATTTCAAAAGGGGCTGTTATCCGTGGGAACCATGCTTTCTACTGGGTGAAATAAATGGAGGCCTCCTTCTGCTGCTGTTTTCATCTCACCTTCCTGTCCTTCTCTCAACAGTCCGCAAAGGCTACCGGATCCAAGCTGACAAAGAGAGGGACTCCATGAAGGTCCTATACTATGTGGAGAAGGAGCTGGCTCAGTTTGACCCAGCCAGAAGGATGACAGGCAGATGTGAGCACCTGTTCGTTCCATGTGATCTGTGCAGCGTGCACGAGTTCAGAGCTAAAGGGGGCTGGGGGGAGGAGGGGAGGGCCACCAAACTTGGGCAGCCCTTGACATTCAGGGTCAGAGCTGGCAGGGTGCTGGTGACACCCTCCTGAAGAAAGTCATTTCAAGTATGCAGGAGGGAGAAACAAACGGACTTCTGGCGTGAAGGACAGACAGGCACGTCCCACCCTCGTTTGTCATCCGTCTCTCCCGCCAGGGTGGTCGGTATTACTGGGCTATGCAATCCTGGGGCTGGAAAATGTTGTATTAAAACAGGCTTTCCCCACCGCCCCCTTTAAAATACACGCAAAACAATGACTTCACATGTGGAAGGTTAGGTATCCATTTTTTTCCAACGCGTAAGTCCCTAGCTTTGACCAGCAGTCCAACAGCTGGGAACTTGCTGCATGGAAGCCTCCGTGAAAGTGAAAGAACGAATCTGCCCAATGGGTCTCATGGAGAAGAGACCTTCATTCCTCTGAGAAGCCCAGCAGCAGAGACCGAGGGGCGAGCACAGAGGCTGCCCAGCTTGTCAAAAGAACCTTTTAATTACTGCGTCTGCAGGTGGCAGGGCCCCAACCCTTCACCCACCCACAGCCCTTGGAGACTGTGGGGCTGACACAGCCCATTCTTTGAGAGTGGATTCCAAATTACCACCCATGGAGAGATGCAGCACAGGGCAGGTCTGACATGGGCCGGCTCATGTCCAGACCGTGCTGGCAGGCATGGTAGAAAGGTCACCACGCTTCTCTCTTGGAACCCTCCTCACCCTGGAACCAACAAGAGACGTGATGGAATTGTTGGGGAAACTGTCCCAGCCCAGAGGAGCTGTATTCAAATGAAGAACAACAGATCCCTCCCAATTTGCAGTTCTAAATTCATCCCATCTGAGTTGCAGCCATTGGCGCGCCCTCCTACCGCACTCACTATAAAAAGACCATCTCCAGATTGGAATGTCAAGAATGCAGATGTCGCTGCACTTGACAAGCTAGTGGTAACAGTGTTGTCATGGATCCCTGGAAGGGGACAGAAACAGAGATAGTAGGTGATCCCGGAGAAGGGGCCTGTGGAGGAAATCTGTGAATCTCACGGCTCAGAGAAAAAGTTAAAAGCTGAGCTTAAAAGGAAAGGCTGGGTCCTGCTTTAGTGATGCCTCCCATCCACCTGGATCAAAGCGCTCTCCAGGGGCTGGCTGTGCATAAAGTAACAGAATCTTCGAGTCCAAGGGCACCTTGGAGATGGCCTGGGCGGACCTCTGCAGTGTACGGGGGAGGACACGGACGCCCAGAAGGCTGAAGTGACAGTCAGACTAGAACCCAGTTCTCTGACTCCTGTCCCATGCTCTTCACACAAGAAACTTGGTAGCCAACTGTGGATGGTTTCATGGCTTTGGCAGTTCCTGCCCAGAGACCACAGCTGTCTTGCTTGTAGGACTTTAGGATATTGGAGCTGGAAGAGACTGAGGTTGCTGAATCCCCCTCCCTTGTTTCACAGAGGAGGAAAGGGAGGCAGAGAGGGACTCCTGCCCCTTTGCGGGTGGGAACCAGCAGAAATTCTCCGCTCCTCCCAGGGCTGATGGGGATGGGCAGAAGAGAGATGGAGGGCGACCTCAGGCCCTCATCTGTGCCTCCCACATCTTATCCTGGCTTACCTCCTCCTCAACCGCCAAACCTTACACGTTGTAAATGTTGATTCTGATAATATTTTGAAGTTCTAACCAAAGGATTTTAGAAAACAAGTGACTTGAATTACATTACAAATAGATTGACTAGATTTATTTTATAAGTAGTGAAATTCAATCCATTTCAATGTTCTATAAATAAATAGGTTTCTTTGTTTTTGTTTTTTTTTCCTTCCAGATTATAATTCTGGTCCTTTTTCACAAAGCTACCTAGATAGACTACCTTAGGAAATGACATAGCTGCAACCAGCCTGCCCCCCCTCAACATTTTACATTTTGGGGCTGGGGCAAGACTACAGGCCATAAGTACAGCCAGTCCCCGCTTTGGCTGCCATACCTCCAGACAGCTGTCCTGGTCACCATGGCCACATACACCTGGAATACCTTTGCCGAGGGGAAGAGTCTCCCTCAGCCCTGAAAGTGGACTTGGTGCCACTTGGGGGGGCTGTTCCAGGTTCCTGGAAGAGCTTCCAGCTGGGGGTGGATGGACAGACACTAGGTGTGCCCACGCCCTTGGCCCCGTTGACTCCCGGTTCTGTGGAGAGGGGCTGGAATGGGGCGCCTCTACAGCATGGGACAGCCCTGGCCCCGAGGCCCCGTCTTGGGACTCAGCCAACAGTAGGGAAGATATCTAGGGCTCCTCTCTCTTTCCCCACGTTGGCTCAACATGCGTGGGATCCCACGGCTCATCACACAATTATACAAGAGGAAAACCATTTGAACAAGGGTGCCGATGGACTAGGACACAGCTGCAGAGCGCGCCCAGGTTCTGGGACGCCTGCCGTAGGTGGAGCGATGACAATTGTTTTCCTGTCTAAGAACAGAGCGCAGAGGGAGCCTCCCTCTCTGAAGGCAAGTGCGCTGCTGGCTGGAGCCAGTTCCTGCTGAGCTAAAAACAAAAACCACCAGCTCAGGTCTACACCCACCTGGACAGGACCGGGGGCCCTCGCGTGGGAGTTGCCCGAGGCTCCGAGCCTCAGCTCTGGCAGGAGCGCCCGCCTTGTCTAACACATAGAACGCTGTCATAACTGGTTCTGTCCCTGCAGATAACAACACCATCTCAGAACTCAGCTCCCTGCATGAAGAGGACGGCAATTTCCGCCAGTCTTACCATCAGATGCGAAGCAAGCAGCTCCCCGTGTCGGGGGACTTGGAGAGCAACACTGACTACTGGCCGGGTGTCATGGGAGGCGGCAGCGGGGCGAGCCGGGGGCCCTCGGCCATGGAGTATAACAGAGAGGACCGGGAGAGCTTCAGGCACAGGTGAAGGTGGCAGTTGGGGGGGGGCAGGAGCGGGAGGCGGGGGGGCCTGAGGCTGGCTTATCAGGGAGCACCTCTGCCTGCCATTCCGGGTTGTCCTGCCACACACATCGCGCTTTCTATGAGCGCTTGACTAGCCCCCTCCCACATTTATGACGCAAGGGAGCCCTTGTGACACCGTGCGTAGACGTCATCATCGAAGCCCTCTGATCCCTTCAGGAACCTTGTTAACATTTCCTCACCCTTCTCATATACGTTATCCTACAGCCCCCAGAGAGTTCCACCATCTTCTCCATCACTTTTGATCCTTTGTTACGTGAATGGTAAAATGCCCAACGCAGTAGACTGTTGTTGCATCTGATTCTCATAGCTCTTAGAGGCAGGTACGGTTCATGTCCCCGTTTTGAGTTGGGGAAACGGAAACTTACCTAGACTGAGGGACTCGCCCACGGTCACACAGTCAATGAACGTGGGAGGCTGAGGTGCGCGTCCACTTACGTGTGGCCATTGCCCACCAAATAGCACCTTCGTCACTCACCTCCACGTCCTCTGCCTCCACGGCCAGTAGGCACTGCCTTCCTCGCAACCCTGCCAACCGCGGGCGTCCCTGTGGCCTGCTGCACGGAGGTAACCGAAGGCGGAAAAGGCCTCTGTGTCCGTCCCCAAGTATCTCAGGCGCGGTGTGGGCCCCAGCGGTGTGGCAGCGCCCCCCACCCCCGCCCGCGGGCTTGCGGGTGCGAGCTGGGAGACGTGTGTCTAGCAGAGGCCGCCTAGTGAGCAGAAGGCCCCGCAGGGCGTTTCCGCAGCGTACGCATCACAAAGCGCGCACGCGACTCCACTCGGAACCTGATCCAAACCCGCGAGAGGGACGCGGCCGCCCTCTCTCGACGGTGCGCGATCCCGCGGCGTGAGGTGCGCAGCCGGCCGGGACCCGGGTCTCCGGACCCCGGTCGACGCCCGCGCCCGGCCGCCTGACCCGTGTCCCCTCCCCTGCAGCCAGCAGCGCTCCAAGTCGGAGAAGCTGTCGCGCAAGAGCTTCGCGGCGGGCGTGCCGGCCGTGTCCATGGACGAGCTGGCGGCCTTCGCCGACTCCTACGGCCCGCGGGCGCGCCGGGCGGACGGCAGCCTGGAGGCCCGCGCCGGGAGCCGCTTCGAGCGCGCGGAGCCGCGGGCGCGCGGGGGCCTCTTCGCCGACGGCCC